TTCCCGTAGTCTTCCGTCATCTTCCCGTAGTCTTCCGTCGTTCTTCCCGTAGTCTTCCGTCATCTTCGTGCAGCCCCGCACTCTTCTAGTCTTATCTTCTCCTTGTCTTCCGTCGTCTCCCGCAGTCTTCCGTCATCTTCCCGTAGTCTTCTGTCAGCTTCCCGTCATCTTCCCGTAGTCTTCCGTCATCTTCCTAGTCTTTCATCATCATCATCCATCCTCACGGTTAAAGGTTAAAGTTAGAGGTTAGGGTTAGAGGTTAGGGTTAGAGGTTAGGGTTAGAGGTTAGGGTTAGAGGTTAGGGTTAGGTTAGGGTTAGAGGTTAGGGTTAGAGGTTAGGGTTAGAGGTTAGGGTTAGAGGTTAGGGTTAGAGGTTAGGGTTAGAGGTTAGGGTTAGAGGTTAGGGTTAGAGGTTAGGGTTAGAGGTTAGGGTTAGAGGTTAGAGTTAGAGGTTAGGGTTAGAGGTTAGGGTTAGAGGTTAGGGTTAGAGGTTAGGGTTAGAGGTTAGGGTTAGAGGTTAGGGTTAGAGGTTAGGGTTAGAGGTTAGGGTTAGAGGTTAGGGTTAGAGGTTAGGCGTGTCAAAAATCCGCTGCGGGACCCCCCTCCCCCCCTCAGACTCCCCCTAACCACCACTTAGAACACGCCTCGCCCCTTTGCAGAGACTAACTTTGCTTTTGCAAAGGGGTCGGCGGATTTAGGAGGGACACTCACTTTCCCTTGTCCTCTTGGGGAAGCAAGCTTCTTTCACCGAGGCTCATATGGGCAGGCATGATTCAGCGGAGAGTCACTTGTTGAAATCAACTACGAGGAGGGCCCATCATGGTGAGAAAAGGTCACAACATCCTGGCTCACAAGCCTAGTGTCCGTTCAGAGAGTCAGTGCTGTTTAGCGAGCTAAGTACATCAACACGCTCAGCAAGGGTATCGAACACCTTGGCACCATAACATATTTGTCAACATCGACCCCTACAAGTTGCTGTTCTGGGGCCAGGCAAGTTTTCGGAGGGGTGGGGGTTCGGGATCATGGTTTGCAAATGTCAGGGGCTTGCCAGTCTGGCCGGGGTCTACCACTTTCGGTCACAATTTAATTTCGGGGGAACTGGGCTTTGAACATATGAGACCATTATGAAAGCATGGCACCTGCGCTCCAGAAGCGCCTCCCAGAAGCTGGAAACGTCAGGGGTCGTCTGTGTACTATTTGAGGTTTGTCGTCTGTGTACTATTTGCGGTTTTTCAAAAACAAAAACAGCTATCTGGCAGAGTCACTGGGCATCGCGCAGGGTGGGGGCGTTGTGGGGGATAGTTGCGTTCACGACAGACTGCGGAACATATGGTTGAAGGTCTTACACATGAGATCCCTTGTTGCAGAAACCACGGCTAAGAGTAGATCGTTGGGGCTGCGAGCGTAGTTAGTCGGGCCCCGATAGCTCTTTTTTTTAATTATGTGCACTGGCTCATGTTATGCTCCTTTGTATGGCTGGCGTTGGCTGCGCAAAGCAACTTCCTGCCCTTGGTTGCCTTATTTCACAGCATAGTTCGGGAACCAGCAATGTTGCTCCACTTATTTGATTCCGAAGAAGCCCCCGACGTACACGTAACGGGAACAAAAAGGCATGGTCGCCTGGAATCAACGGTTGGTTCAACCCTGGGTCTAGCCATTAGCGCATGTATCCCACATCCTCAGTGTCAGCCGCGCTCCATTGCTAGGGCTATTCGCACTTTCCGGGTTGCCGAAGCACAGCCGAAAGCAATGCGTTGTAGAGGCCAACCGGAAGCCACGAAACCCGCCACGTTCGAAGACGGCTTTTCCAAATCCGTTGGAAACTGGTTTTTCGCGCAGAGGTGACTCACGCGCATGTGACCTCATAGAAACCAGCAAGCCAGGAATCTGTACTGGAAATGGGTCAAATACCCACCAAGACCAATGGATTTCCTGTAGAATTTGCTGTAGGATTTCTGCGCCAGAATGCTCCACGGTCGCTTCTCGAAACGAGTTGCCAGGCTTTGGATCAGCGTTGCTGGCTTGTGCCTATTCGGTTGCTGCCTGGTGACCGCGGATTGGCAGAGGCGCGAGAATGGGCGGGACCCGGATGTGCCGACAGTTTTCGAGCTGGGGAATGAGACGTGTTGAATTGGAAATGACGTGTGCACTTCAAGTGCACTGCGAGGTTTCTCCTTTCCAAGCTTTTGACCTTGCTCACCAGCGTATGTATTTATCTGTCTACTTACCTATCTAGATGTCTATCTATCTATCTGTTTGTCTGTCTGTCTGTCTGTGTATGTATATGCATACATTATTTGAACTTTCCAGCGCACCAGCGGGAGAAGTCGCCGCATGCAGGTTTTGGCTGAAGGAGCTGCCCTTTCGGAAGCTCAATTGCCCTTGTACTGGCCAAGATTGAAATGTGCTCAAACGATTTGGCTTGAGCCACGTTAGAAACATGTACAAAGCAGCCACAGGTATTTTTTGTGTGATGGTCATTGTGATAGTCTTGTGGGGGAAATGGAATTGGGCTGACCCACGCCCAGTTGTACTGATTGGTCTGCGGACCCTTGCGGTCAGAGTCTTGCCCAGTCGCTCCCGTCGCACAGGGCGGGATTGCTGGAGGCCATCAGAAAGGACACGGCGCATGTGATTGCCAGTGATGTGATGTTCTCGTGTTTGGACGATGGGGGTGGACATCAGTCGTCCGGGCCGAAACAAATCTGCCCTTTGGTGAGGGCATTGAGCCTGTTTTGAGCTGTTTTTTGTCGAAAAGAGCCAGCTTTAGCTGTGCATTGGATCTTTAACAGACAAGTTGCAGTGACAGTATCCTTGCGGCAGGAAGAGGAGGGGGGAAATGAGCCAGATGAGGCGCGAGGGTGGATCCTTCAAGCATATCTTACTCCATCCTGCTTGCCAAAGGAAAATGTGGAGTAGATGCACATGACTAGCATGAAGCCAGAAAGCCATCGAGTGGCGAATCGCGCGGGTACCCTACCTAGATTGAGGGGATGGGCAGCTTCTTTGGACCCACGACGCTTCTGATGCACTGAGATATGACGACTTTGCGAGTGTTTCGTGCGCCGTGAGGATTCCTTGTAATGCATGCTAACCGTAGACCCCCTAAGCACATGGTGTGGCCCTGCTGATCACCTCTTCGCTTGCGGAGGTTGAGGCTCACAAGACGTGGTACGGCCTTAGGTGGAGAGAGAGTTTGGGACCCAAAGCTGCACGCCATGCCAGGACCCGCCAACTGACGAGAAGCCTCCAGAGCCTCCAGAGCTGCAAGAGCCGATAGAGGCGGGGATGTTCGCATTGTTGCACGGCAGATTCATGGTGCAGTCGTGAGTCGCAGTGTAGCTAAACCAATGGCGTCACAGAGAGAGAGAGAGAGAGAGAGAGAGAGAGAGAGAGAGAGAGAGAGAGAGAGAGAGAGAGAGGGGGGAGAGGATAGAGAGAGTCGAGGCTCGCCTGCCAGTGCCCCTGAGAAAGGGGTGTGTGTGTGGGCACTCGACCCGGGTTGCCTAGGAGAAGCACTCGCACATCTGAGCCTGGCCCGAGTCGGCCTCCGAAGCGCCAATGTAGCGGACCCGCCCTGTGCCATGTGAGGTGTCCGCCTTCAAGATGCGCATTTGTTTAAATAGAGCTGTTTTTTTGGATGGTACCCCCCCATTTTTGTGGTTTGGAAGGCAAGCCAATCCAAGACAAGTCACAACCGCATGAAGGTTAGGTTGCACAATGAGCAGTGAGAGTCAACCCCCATCAAAGATTGCTCACTCTCGCTGGATGCCAAAGGCAATAGTCCAGCAGCTTCAAGGGGTTGGAACATTTGCTTTGCCGGACTCTTTTTCGTGACTAAAAGGATGGATGACATCGGTGGCGGCGTCAGTGACGTTCCAACCTCGTGCTCAGCCACTCGGCTGCTTCAGACAAGCTGAAGATCTGGCCGTTGAGCTTCAACGAGTCACCAAGGGCTTGCTCTTTGGGGAAAACGGCACCGGTGTGGGAAGATTCGCTCTTTGTCAATAAATGGACGGGTCCTTTTCTTTGGGACCCACACAAATGGTGGTTGTCCTTTTGGTTTCCCTTTATAACCAAGCAACAGTGGGTGCCCACCAAAAAAACACACACAGACACACACACACACAGACACACACACACACACACCCAAATGGCGAGCAAACCGTATCTAGTGCATGCACTGTTTTGATGCTGAGTTAGCACATACACAAACTACTCACAAAGCACTTCCCAACAAATTCGCATCCAGGAATAGATTGTTGCTTGCCATCAGAATGGCTTCCCCAGCGTTCTTGTGTTTTCATCGTTTTTGCCAGAAGTCAAGCTCCAAACCATGCCGTGATACATGCGAAAACTGAGGGGGTCTTTTCCTATTCGATGACGCGAGAGCACTCCTGCGCTGTGGCCTCTGGGAAGAAAGCAACGGAGAGCCACGGCCATCCTGTCGAGGGAAATCAGACACACACACACACACAAACAGTCTTTGATCTTCAGGTGTGGCATTCTGGCGTTCAGAGGGGTCATGCGGTCTTTTCCGCCAGGATTCGCTACTTGAGACGGCTCTGCCAATTGTATTGATGGGTGAAACTCGGCATACTTGGATAGAACAGGTGCTGAGCTCGGCATGGGTTGACTGCCAGCAGTCTGCTTGAGTCGCAGAGGCTGACCGTCGGGTTGCACAGCAGCTGAGGATTGACATAAAACTGAAGCGGCACGCGTGGGATATCCATGAACACTTTTCAGTCTTGGGCAGCTTCTGCGTCAGTGTCCTCCCTGTCTACTTCAATCCACATGTTGGGTTGATTTTAGACGAAGCAAATGGCAACCTCGCGAGACGGGTAAAGCATGGTCATGGTCAGTGTTTTCTGTTAAATGAGGTTCCAGTCTCGGGAATCCAAACCCTAGGCTGGTAAGTTCTTGCAAGTTCTTAGTTTTACCCACAGAAACAACCCCAAGCATTGGCAAGTCAAAGAAAGTTGATAGCTAAGCCCCCTTTCTGAGCTGCCTCGCCTAAGCGCATGAGCCGAATGATATGAACCTGCGGCTTGCCATGGCTTCGCTGGTGCCCTCTTCACCACCCGCTCGCCAGGCTCAGCTGAGGGAAGGGAAGGGTTGCCCTGTGAGGAATTCCCCTCCCGACTGACATGGTTTGGTGCACAGACCCCTGGAAAGGGGCTTTGTCCACTTCCATGTCAGTTGGTCGGAGGGTACATGATAATGTGACATTGAAATTGCAAATGTTGGCTTGGTTGCAGGTGCGTCTCCGCGTCTTTTGTTGTGTCGCTTTCTGTGTGCCAGGCTCCGCTTTTCCATTTTGCTCACCATACTTTGCTTCCTTGTTCTGCTGGAAACGTCAGGTTTGTCCGTCAATTCCCATTTGCCCACAACCAGCCTCCCACAGGCTCACGATTTCCTAATTTTCTAGAAGTCCAGTGCAAAACAAGTGACGCGTCTGACTTGCTCAATTTTTCTCAAACGCCAAACCAACATCACCTGAATCCAAAACCATGGGCAGGGGCATCCGAACGGAACCCATGTGTTGAAGTTGAAGCCCAATTCTCGCGGGTCACCCAAAATGGAGCCAGGGCTCCGCCCCAAGACGGTGTTCGTTTGCGGTTCTCAGGCAGCGGTGCTGGTGCAGCGGAGGTGGCGACGCCACCCCAAGGGCGGCATCCATGGCCCGCAGTTTCACCGCTTCCCCACCGAGGCGCGGGGGGCCGCTTTTTTTTGTTTTTTTTCCTTTTCTTTTTGTTTTTTTCTTTTTGCGAGTTCGAGCCGGTGCTCTAGGTGCTGGGTGCTTTTTCCGGCGCGCTCAAGGTGCTGTGGTGGTTGCTGGCATCTTCTGCAAGGCAGCGGGTCAGGGTTCTGTTTAGTGACTTTAGTGTGCTCAAGGTGGCACTGTGGTTGCAGGCGGTGCTTGTTTGACGTTTCAGTCAGGTGCTGGTCAGGGTGTTAGACATGGTAAGGGTGCTGCTTGGTGCGCTGGTGTGCTCAAGGTGCGGCGCCAGTTGCTGGCGGAGCTTGTTTGAAGCTGCAGTCAGGGTGCTGGTGCAGTTGTAATCTCCCATACTATCTTGGGTCTATGATGGTCCAATCATTGTGTTGTTCGCCTTTTTGCTTGTTTGCTTTTTTGCTTGTGTCTGCTTGTCTGCCTACCTTCCTGGCTGTCTGTCTGTCTATTTGTCTGTCTATCTATCTATCTATCTTTCCATCTATCTTTCCTGCTATTTATCTATCTATCTTTCCTGCCTGCCTGCCTGCCTGGCCTTGCCCAGCCTGGCTGCCTGCCCTCGCCTGCCTGGCTGTTTGACTGTCTGGCTGCCTTGCTGTCTTTCTGTTTGTCTGTCTGTCTGGCTGGCTGGATGGCTGTTTGGCCGTTTGGCTGTTTGTCTCTGCCTGGTTGTCCGTTTGTCTGGCTGTCTGTCTGGCTGGCTGGCTGTCTGTCTGGCTGGCCGTCTGTCTGGGTGGTGTGTATGTGTCTTGCTGTTTGGCTGGCTGGATCCAGTAAGCTACACGGAAGTTGCCTGTTCTTGGTGGCAGTTCGCATCTGTCAGCTGGGCCCAGCTTGCCTATGGAGGGTCATTGTTTCAAACAAGGTGCCATTTCGGCCGCCAAGCCAAAATGAGAGCTCGGCGTGCCTGGCACGCCTGTTTAGGAATGACTCAATTGCCTTCTTTGCATGAGTGGTTTCTTTTGCCGCACTGCGAATAGTGACCAGGGGGTCAGATCAACACGGATCTGATCACGATTTGGGACCGGTATGTCTTGCTTGAAAGTGACAAGAAGCGGCGACCCCAAGCATGATTGATTGAATGGGCAAACATTGACTTGCTTGCTGCAGTGATTCTGCCCAGGCCCAGGTGGAAGTATTCAACCCGCTCATGGCTTCGATTGGATGGACCCATATCTTGTTTGGCGAAGAGGGCATGGCCCATTGCTGCAATTTTGGTCGGGCAGCTTTTGGTTGGGCTCTTCACATCGGGACGGGGAGGTCCGGGCCAGCCGGGCCAGCCGGGCAGGTGAAGATGAATTGGCCCCCAAAGGACTGGGCTGACAGGGAAGCACGGCAGTGCTTTCCATGGGCGATAGGCCAAGGATGTCATGGGGACAGAACGGCGACCCACCCCGTCACTCAGATGGCTATGAGTTTTAATAAGGGGCCCTTTGGTGGACATCATGTAGGTGGGGATTCATGTCCATCACTTTTGAGGTGGCTCCCTAGTAAGATTCATGGCCATGAGCTTGGGACTGCTCTTTGCACTCGCGCCTTCCGGTGCTGCGAGGACCGGAGCAAGCTCTTTCTCCTGCCGGACTCCAAGCGTCTACTCTGCGTGGCGAAGGGCTGGTGCGCCTTCGCGGATTCGGACACCGGCGAGTCAGGGACTCAATCTGGCTGGGTGTAAAACCAAGCACTCGTTTGGAGACGCAGAAGCAACATGAACTATCCATGTTTCTAGGTTTCCTGCCTGTTTTCCCTGATGCTTTGGATTCAGTTTGCGAGACGGATCGGCAGAACCTCGGGACATATCTTCACTATTCCAATGACTCAGAGTCGAGTGACCAGCCTTGCAGGCTGCCAGTTTTGTGGCGGCTTGTTCTCTTTGGTGCTTTTTTCTTTCACACCCTCGCTTCTTCGGAACTTTTTCAATCCAAACACAACAGAGGCAGGGGAAGACTCAACAAAAAGAGGGCGCTCGAGTGAGGCACGCCTCGTTGCTTCGCGCTAGGTACTACCCCGATGGCATCACCGGCCGCGACAAGAAGGCCCTGGTCGCCCAAATCGACCTGTTGGTTGCCCTCGAATGCGTGTCTTACCGACGCTTAAGTGCGCCAGGTTCGCAACACCTTTCAGAGGTCCAAATCATATTGATTGTAAGACACATAAATTAGAGACCACAAAAAACAAATGCAACACTGCAACAAGACAAGTGAGACACAAAAGTTTTACAGGAGCTTAAGTTAGAGGCTCCAGCTATTCATGGCGCAATTTTGCAAATGATTTGGCAGCCAAAGGACATACTTTTGGATTCGACCATCTTTTCTTTTTTCTCAGATTGGCCATAGGTGTCACACATCACATAGATGCGAGTCTTCAGAAATGCGCCCAAGTGTTTGTTCCACGAGGGGCGTGAAAATGACAGCCGTTTTTCCACACTCAAAGAATCGGTGCTGGTGTCCCGGTAGCCTGAAGCCTGGAAAAAGCCGAAGGTCGAAGGTAGGAAGCGCAATCTGTTCGTTCTCCTACCAAAAAAAGCGCCGCTGGAGCCATCTCTTCTGAAGCCTGGGAGAGCAATATTCATGGGAGGATCATATAAAAAGAAGAACCCAGGCCTCATGCGTTTCAATGCAAGTTTCGGGGGCCTTCCAAATAGCTGATTTCCCTTGATTTCCTTGGACGCAAAACGCAGCAGCATCTTGGCGTACTCTGGCAGTCAGTGTCGCTTTGCGCCATCCAAATTATTCGATGAACTTCTCCGTGATTGGTTGGCCCAGCCCCCGAGGGTATGCCAATGTCCTGCCAGGAGACATCAGTTGTGCTCAGCTTCGCCTCCAAGAATAAGCACAACCACATGGACAGCTTGACCGTCCAGGAGGCTCCCACATCTCCCACGGCTTCGGCCATGCGTTGAAGTCAAACCACCTGCCATGTTTTTTTGGGGGGTTGATCGGGATGGCCGGATGGCCCGTTCCATCACCCAGCCATGTTGTGAGTGCCAAAGGGTTGATGGGAACGTGGAGTTTTGGCCGCGGCACATTGGGGCTGGAGTTTGAGCCGCAAGGTCGAGGGGGAATGAACCGTGTGACCAATCAAGACAGTTCCTTGGTCCATCTTTGCCGTGAAAGCATTTCGGTGTTTCAAGAATGAGACAGTGAATGCCCGGTTTCCTTTTGGTTTCCTTTTGGGTGTCCTCATACACCATTCCGAAGGCATCCCACTTTTTTGGAACCCCCCATATTTCTGTTGCTTTTTACTTGTCCTACTGTAGGCACTCCGAATCGGGTAGTTGCTCTCTGCTTTGGGGTAGACTGAGGTTGGAGGAGCGCTCGGTCCGGACTAACTTCAAAGCGGACACATTGTTGGAGGTTTCTTGGGAGAGACTCGTGCGAGGATTCCTCTGGAAATGGGACCTGAGAAAAAAAGCTCAGAGGCTACGAGCGGATCCAGCTCCTTTCTTTGTTCGCACACAGACCCGACGAACCGAGGTGCAGAAGCTTTGGGAACTGGCGCCGGACATCCAGGCAACGTCAACTCGGCCTCTCGTCCGTGCCAGCTCATGGCCTCACTAGGCAACGCACCATCTCATGTCTCAAGGGCGCCTCTACAAATTGGCACTGGTATCACTATTTCTGGAACCTTCCCAGGGCTTGAGCCGTCGATTTGTCGCTTCGCCTTCCGTTTTTCTGCGAGGCGCAATTCAAGGAGTGCGAGGCAAAGCTGGAGGAGGACAATGATCCCCGAGGGGGCGCCTGACCAAACAAACCGCGAGGGTAGACCTGGCTCTGTGGCTCTTTTTGAGGGTGCCCCCTTTGTTGCGTGGTTTTAACGGGAGCAAAAGGAAAACCACAGTTGTTGGGGTCCCCATAACAAAAACAACTGGTGGCTGCGCCAACTTTTATTTTCCTTTTCCCAGGGCTCCAATCTTCTATGTGCCAAGGTCTTAGCATCCCTGACTCCGCTTTCTGGGGTTGGCAAAACGGGTATTTGGATCTATTCCATTTCCGAGCTTGGCGATTTGAGGGATTGCTTTCAACACCACGTTGGCTGAGACAACGAGTGGCCCGGAGCTTTGGGATCTCGGTTCGGTTCGCCGCCCATCGAGGCCGAGGCGGATTTGCCGAAGCGTCAGGAGACGGAGCTGAATGTGCAGCGCGCCCATGTTTGCAAGTGAGCCGCGTGTTTCACCTGGCTGATTGACCATGTGGAACTCGCCAAAGTGCCGACTCATTGGGCAGGGGGCAAAACATTGAGAATTTGGGCCCATTGGGACTGTCTCAGTTGGAGCCGTTCAGAGCGAGCTACGCAGACAGAGTCCGTGAGTTTTCCTCGGCAGGATTCAGCTTGAGTTTGCCGTCCGATTTCACTTATGTGGACAGGGGAATGAGACTGATAACTGGGCAAACCTTCTTGAGTGGAGCATTCGGCTTCCAGAATCACTTCATACCGTACAGAGTCACAACATCCAAATTGTTGCAGCGAAAGATACGCTCACATGCGCCCAACCGGACGCGTGAGGGCGAGAGGGCGAGAGAGCAAGAGAGCGAGAGAGCGAGAGAGAGAGAGAGAGAGACAGAGAGCAAGACAACGTAGTGGACAGCAAGTCCGTTTTGTTTTGGTATGCTTTTGCATGCTTCTTGATCTGCAAAGGCCGATATGTGCGTACACACATCATATCAGTAGCATGTCCATTATGTTGTGTTGATTGCGGTCCTGAACCGAAAAATGTCACCGTTTTGTGTGGCGCGAGAGGCGGTTCGGTTCGAGCTCGGCTCTTTCGCACAATGTTTGCCGAGCACCTGGCTGAGTGCCGGGCGCGCGGCTCAGTTGGCGGTTTTCGCTGGCGGTGCCTTGCACTCGAGTTGGGCAGTGGACCATTTTGTGCGGTCCATTGCATTATGGTGGCGTTTGGAGATTTTTGGGGCTTTCTGAGGTTTTGGTAGCCATGGCGCGAAAATTCAGACGACCATGGACAGAGTCCGGCCTCTTGCTGCTTTGTTTGAATGAGTTTGAACGGGGAGCAAGCAATCCTAGGCGCAAGTTTGCCACGAGTCCCTTTCAAACGCAAGCCATGGCCCCTGGCTACCCACTCCAAGCCAACAGACAAACTCAGCTGGAAATGTGTCAAAAAGAAACCGGCCGTTAGCTCTTCGGGTAGGGGACCCCACAAATGGACCCCTCGAACTCAATTTAGGGGAGACCCATGCTGCTCTGTTGAACCAGAGCAAATTACCTTAAACCTCTCCCGAACAACCCAATCTCCATTGCGATATGTCCCTTTGGACCCCATCAAACAGCTTGTTTTGGTCCAAACCCAACTTCTATTGCGATATTGCCCTTTCGGCCCCATCCAAACAGCTTTTTTTTGTCCCAACCCAACTTCCATTGCAACATTTCCCTTTTGAGTTCATCCAACAACTAGGTTTGTGCCCCAATCCAATCTCCATTTTGAGAATAGCGCCCTTTGACCTCCATCCAACAAGTTTTTTGAGTCCCAACCCAATCTCCATTGTGATAATGTTGCCCTTCAACTCCATCCAAAAGGTTTCAGAAAGGCTCGTTGTGGGGCCTGCGGTTTTCCAAAACCACAATTACAAACAACATGCCAGACCCCATAGCCTACATGCTTAAGATGTCAATCAAATGTTCAAACTGCATTGGAACGGAATTCCTGTCTAAATTCTAAATGATCATGGTACTTCTAATATACTTTTTCCTTGTTTGTTGCAGCCCATGTCAATTCCAACCGGATCTTAATTAAACACATAACTGGAAAGGAGATTCCATTTAACCTCTAGTGTAAGAAAGACACGATTTCATTGGTTTTAAAGACCCAGGCCCCGCGCCGACCCACTCTCAAAGTTTTTTGTTGCTCCAACCGAACTTCCGTTCCGATATGTGCCTTTCACCCCATTCAACAAGTTTTGTTGCAACACAACTTAATTTCGATATTGCCATTTTGACCCCATCCAAGAAGTATTTTTGTGCCCCAACCCAATCTCCATTGCGATAGTGGCTCCCTTCGACCCCCATCCAGAAAGTATTTTTGTGTCCCAACCCAACTTCCATTGCGATACTTCCCTTTCGACCCCACCCAAATAGCTTTTTTGTGTCCCAGCCCAACCTCCTGAGATATTTTCATTTCGGCCCCCCCAAACAGCGCTTTTGTGGCGCAACCCAACTTCCATTGCAATATTTTCCATTCGACCTCATCACTGCTTGGACTTCAGGCTCTGCAAGAAGGCAACCGGCGTTTTGTGGGGCTCCATGCAAATTCTGCAAGCTGAGAAACAGAGTTTCCCCAAAGGTTGAAAGTCAACGGTTCGACCAAGCCTCCAAATCATGATAGCTCCAAGTCACCTGATGGAGTCCTTCGGTCCAAAATGAGTAAGCGGATCAATGCCTGTGGACCCCATCCAAGCCGCCTTTTTTTGTGTCCCAACCCAACTTCCATTGCGTTTTTGGGTCCCCCCGCTTCGCCCCTCCAACCTTCGCGACCCGTCTGCCAGCGCCTTCCCACAGATTGTTAAAATGGTCGAAAGCAGGTAGTTGAGCCCCAACAAAAACCGATGGAACCCCCTCCGAACCGGAGACCCACCCCAAGCCCTGTGCCAAAAAAGCCTCCGTTGCCTCGCCAGTTGCTGCGCTCGGACTCGTTTTGGAGGCCTTGGCGGAGCAGGCCTCCGAGGAGCTCCAGCGCTTAAGAAGCGCCAGGGGCTCGGAGCCGTGCAGGGGGGGGGGGGGGGGGGGTGGGGATGGTGGGGGGGTGGCGGGGGTGGTGGGGTGGTGGGGTGGTGGGGGATGGTGGGGGGGTGGGGTGGGGTGGTGGTGGGACGTGTTGGGATTTGGTGAAGGGAAAACGCGCCGAGAAGGGAGGGGTTGGGGGTGGTCCCGGTGGGAAATGGGGGAAGGTGGCGAAGGCAAATCGAAGAAGCAGAAAATACACCAACAGCACATTGTTTTGAGAACAGTGGAGTGATCCTTCTCCCTAATAATGGGTACTCCCCCACTCAACGGATATTCGCCTGGGTGCAGAACCATGTTTATTAATTTGGTACATTGTTGCACCAGGGGGGTTCCTCTATGGTCCTTGTCCACATGGGGTCCCCCCCTTTCCCGGCCCTAACATCGTTTAACATGGCAGTTTCCGAGTCAAGGAATCTAGACAGCAGACATCTATGTGATTTTGACTTGTGCTGGTTTCAACCTGGTTTACTGATTTGGTATCGGTTTAGAACTGGTTCAATATTGGTTCTAAAGTGTCCCCCCAATACGGCTGGAGTTGGCCGGGCAATTTGCTGCTCTAGAATGTTTGCGTTTCTGAATAGGGAAGCAGCTTCTGCTGGTGTTTATTGAAAGAGAATATTGGACGTCCTAGCGCAACTAAATTTCGTGACATTTGCTTGCCTCCTTCAACCAGCTGCCGAGCAGTCAACAGGGCCGCTGTATATTTTGTTGCAAGTTCCTTCAGCGGACACCAAATTCACCAGTTCAAATTTGCGCAGACTTGTGTGAGTACCTCGCAGTCGGGACCTGGTATTCTTCTCGCAGAGCTCGAGTGCTCCCAAATTTCAGCACCAGGCGTTTTATGAGTGAGGCTGATGGTGTGAAGACTTCGTCCTTCTTGTCAACGAAGGCAAACAAACACCCGGAGATGCAACAGGGACTGGCTAGAATATCTTTTCCAGGCTGAAAACAAACATCCTGGAGTCGCCTTCTCTCTGCGGGGTAGAATGAGATGTGCAAACATCATGAGTAATGCCGTCGCCCTGTCGAGTAGGTATTTTTGGGGCCGCGCCAAAAAGGCTCCAAATGCAATACGAATGCAGAGCCGTCAAAATCTCTCAGAGGCATGGAGGCTGTCCAGACCAAACCGTTGATGCCCTGTGAACCCTGACCCTCACGCCAGAGATGTGCAAGTCGAGCCGAACTGTCCCCAATTGGCTGGAAAATCAGGGAATAATCGAGCGGGGATGGACCGTAGGTATTTGCAGAACGCAATGGTCGAGTGTGTGACATCAAAGTGTTTCTGCAAGTATTCTTGCACGGAACCCGGTCATGGACCCTTCGCAGGAAAAGAAGTAGGATTTCTAAATCAGTTTTCTATTTGGCGGACCACTACGGCGCGCGCAAGCCTGCATGCACCCGCACGCACCCGCACGCACCCGCACGCACCCGCAGCATGCAAGCACGCCCGCACCCGCCGGCACCCGCACGCACCCGCACGCACCCACATGCACCCGCGCGCACCCGCACGCACCCGCACGTACCTGCACGCACCCACACGCGAATGCAGGCACGCTTTGCACGTTCACATCTACGCACGCACACAAACACACACACACACACAGACAGACAGAAGCACAAGCACAAACACAAACAAAAACACAAACACCAAAATGAATTCCAAGCACAAACGCGAAGGCAAAGGTAAACACAAGCACGAACACAATTACAAGCACCAACACAACAACACGAACAACAACACCAACACGAACACAAACACAAACACAAACGCAAACACAAACACAAGCACCAGCACTCATGCACACAACCACAACGCGGCAACAGACACAACCACAGCATTCACAACCACAACCGCAACCACAAGCGGACAGACACACACACACACAAACACAAACCCAAACGCAAACGCAAAGGCAAACACAAACACAAAGCCAAACACAAGCACAAGCACAAACACGAGCACAACCACATTTGTTCATAAGCCAGACAAGAACCAGATAAACACGATGGGCACACAGCATGTCTATTGTTGGTTTGGGATCCCCTCGTTGCCCCGTGTTCTCTTGGGGCACAACAAGGCTCCGCACATTTTGAGACGAAACAAGCTCTCAGACTGACTCAGCGAATGGCTGTGTGTTCAAACCATGCACCCCCGCAAATCCATGTTGAAAGGCAGCATGGCAGCGTTGCGTTGTTTTCGGGATGGCCTACGTCGAAGTTCCGAGCGCTGAGGCACCTGATCCAGAGAGGCCCGGCCACAGCGCGGCTGCCTTTAGCCTGCTGAAGCAGGCAGATTGAAAAAAACATGTCTTGTGACTCGAGTGTCCTTGGGCGACATTACTGATAGCTCGCAAAGCACGGAATGCCGGCAGTGTCCAGAAAGGAGTTACAAGCGGAGCCCACTCTTTGTGTTTTTGCTCGGGAGGGAGTTTTTGGAATGGGACCGACCCTTGCAGAGTGCCTTTTTCACCCTTTGCCGTATGATTTCCTTGGCGGCACAATTGAGTCCCTCGATTCCCGCGCGTCGGTTGGAAGAAGGTGTTCCTCCAGCTTTCTTCCGCGCCAACGGGTGTGTTAGCTCCTTGTTCTGCTTTGAAAGTCCTCAAGAAAGTA